GGTACCTCTAATTAGGCAACAATATTTAGACAATTGTAAATACAGTTGCCATGACAGATTGTCAAACTCTCTAGCTTCATCCAATGAGCCGATGGACAGGCTAAGGTGTAATATCACTGCATGTAAAATGCTCTCTGCAAATCTCTCAAAACCTTTTCGATGAGGCAACGCTTGCCGACAAAACGAGCCAATCATAAAAAATCGTGTTCAAGGGCAAATGATAAATAAATCTCCATTGACGTGGAGACAAGTTCTTCAAAGGCTGGTTGAATTTTCCCACAACGCAACGGATAAGACTCACGTTTCCATCAAATTTGACAGCCTCGCTTCCCAAAAGGTATTCTCATCTACACCCACTTATAAACGCAAATAAGTTGCGTAACGGTTTGCCAATAACCTCGCATGCAAGGCACAAAGTTGCCGAAATATCTCATAAAGGTTGGTTTTCTCTCCCATAACCAGCATCCCTGGCCTGGGGCCTTTCAACGCCAACATTGTATAAGTGAAAAGCGTAATGCTGCAATTCTGTAAAATGTCGTCAAACAGAATAAAGCTCCAAGCTGCACTCGTATGTGCTATTATTCTCATTTTCCCGAACTAATGTAGACATTTTTGCAAACGACTTTTCCCATTGGCAGACGAGTAAGAAAGGGGCCCAAAAAGAGTCATCCTTTGCACTTTTTCACAACCCCATTCTGGCATTGCTCACGCGACCCGTGAATCGGCTAATGGCAGCCCCACAAGTGAAGATCCTCGAGTGGATCGGAACCCGCGAAAGCGTCTCGAAGGGAGTCAAGCTACGCTAAACTGCCCGGCCTGGCGAGGCGAATGTATCGAAATAGCTCGTGAAAACCGTTTACGCCAAAGCACGCAACCCGATGAACATGAAGAGTTTCAATAAAAGTCAACAGCAATCCTGTACATTCCACAAAGACCCTTCCTCATCACTGCATGCTAAGTCTCCATTTGAATGACATTTCGTCATGTACCTGGTCAGTAATTCAAGAAAAGGTGAACTAAAGCCAAACAACGCTGCTCTTTTATCACGAAACTAGGAGAAAATGGGCCAATATTTGGGCAACAGTCATCCTGAGCTCGTTAGCCACCCCTACAGTGGGCGATCGCATGTCATTAAACCAAAATGGTGATACTACTCAATTCAGAAATACTTAAGTAGGCCACAATCCCATCCCGAAAAGGTTTGTAAATAGTGAATCAAAAATGGATCGGAAAAAGATAGGCAGCATTGTTGCCAACATGGCAAATTGAAGCTTCTCCTAAAATCATTCTATATTCTTTGTGATAGTAGACTGTTTAATCTGTTATAAATCAGACCGGTCACTAAGACAACAAATTTATCAAAGTCCGCTTTGACGGGATTGGTTCGTCTTGCGTCTGCATCCAAACTGCCAGTGTCAAATTGCTTGAGCTGAAGTTTACTACTTTCCGATTACTTGCTTCCGATTGAGTACTATATAGCAAATAACACGTTTACGTAAAAATTATTATTATTTACTAATTATGGCTAATGCTATTACATTAACAAGAATACAACTATGAAGTTGGCTTTCCTGCAAAAAGAAACTTTTGTTGTTCATCAAGAAAATGTTTTTAGTGTTAACCACTATGAGAGTAAAGCTCCAATGTTAGGCCTAGTTTTATGAATCCGAATAGGCAACTGTAATTGATTTCACTAGTTACCGTATTTTTATATGAACTATAAATACTGATGCCACACTTCTTATTCTTCTCACAATGAAATGGAGAGCCAAATTGTGCCAGTGTAAAGCAGAAAGCATCACGTTTTTTCTTAATTTTTTTTTCTCTCTCCGCTCACTTGCTCATCCATACATTTGATAATTCATAGTTATTTTCAGAGTCTTGTGCTAAAGAGTTTGAGAGATGCTAAAAATGTTGAGACACTGCCCGAAAGCACATACACATGCACGAAAAAGTAGTGGTAAATACACAAAAAATATGTGCTTACATGAACATTTTGTGTCTAAGATGAATTATTCAGAATTTTCCCACCTCCACAAGTGAAATCGATTTTTGGAACTCTAAAAATAGTTACCCTGTATCAGTTTCATACTTAACCAACTCGAGATTCCAAGTCCAGCATACTAGCCCATCTAAGTTAACTGGCTCATTCCATATCTCTGACAGTAGGTAGATTCATACTGAATAACTCATACTGTTTTTTCATCTAGAATGCTTTACCACTGTCGTGGTGACAACGACTGACTGCAAAATAGAGCATTTCAATTTCCACATGTGATAAGTTGCACACATAAGAACAGTGACCTTCTAGACCATAAAATTGTCATAATCATCATTCTATTACTTAAACACTAACAAATGACTACATAAAGACAGTCGCTTAGACCATAGCTCTGGGCTTTTCAGTCTAGAAATGGATATTTGCCACTTAAGCCGAAAAATAAGTTGTATGCTCTGATGGCACATTATAGCATCAGCGTACCCAAATAATCGTGAGAAGTAGAAATATGAATATTCCGAAGTATTAAAGTTCAAGAGTAGCATATCAGTTCAGGAAATAAAAAAAGTAAAGCGTGTATCAAAGTAGTTGTTTGACCTTTTTTTGGCGACTTGGTCATATCGACAGGAAAACATAGAGGAACACACCTTGTCCTCATGATGTTCCGGTATTGACGGCATCCACTCCTCCCAAGGACGATGGGGATAAGTTGGTAAACTTTTCTCAATACCTCTTGATAACGAAGCTGTGGATCTCCTGAAGAAAGGGTTACATTTTTCAATCGTTAACGAAGGGAAGAGTTTAGACAATGTCATTATAGAAGTTATGAATATCTTGGACAAATAACCAGAAAAGACCAAACGGGAGATGGAAATGAAATCAATCCCATGAATCCTGGCACATTAAGAGTCAATACACACCAGCAGATTGGCTGGGATACGCAAAAAAATCCAAAAGAATGAACAAATAGTCCTACAGGCGGATAAGGGAGGCGCGACGGTGGCAATGGACGGGCAACAATACACGGAAAAAATGGAAAGTATCATAGACGACCGGGACACTTATCAAATAGTAAGAAAGAATCCAACAAAAAAGATTGAGGGAATACTGAAAGAAATATTAAAGGAGAGGCATAGCAACGGGGAAATCGACATATGGCTGATGAATTCGTTCATAAAAAATGACGCAAGAACACCGACAGCCTATGGAGTATCGAAGAGAAGGAAGGAAGGGAAACCAGAAAGGTTAGTAGTCAACAACAAGCATGGAGCAACACACAAAATAGCGAAATGTATATGCTTTAAGCTTAAGAAAGACTCGTGAACACGGTGAAGAATTCATATGAATTTTCTTGAAGGATCCAAAATAATGGGCTGGCAGAGACGAAAATGTTGGCAAGTTTTAACGTACAATCCATGTACAGAAACCTCTCAGGCGAGAAGCAGAGCGGTTGTGAAAGGAGACGCTAACAAGACTGATCAACCTGACAGTAAGTACCACATATTTTACATTCAACGGCAATAGCAATGAGCAAATATTTGCACTAACGATGGGATCCTCACTTTCACATTTTTGGGAAAATGTATACATGGACAGAGTGGAGAAGGAATTTGAGAAGTCACCGCTGCAACCAAGAGGGCTTATGCGATATTTGGACGACTACATTGCACTTTGGTCGCATGGTGAGGGAAGTTTGGATGAATTCCTCAATTTTATAAACCAACTTGACGCAAGAATTGAATTCACAATCGCGGTGGAGGAGGATAAGCGACTACCCTTCCTCGATTTTGAGGTCATTCGTGCCAACGGAGTATGCAAGAGGAGACTATTCAGAAAGAATAAGCCTCAATTACCAATCTGAAGATGGGAATACTGAGGCGTATGATCATCAGAAGCTTATGACTAACGGACACTGAGTTCTGGAATGAGGGCTTGGAGAAATGATCATGCATATTCTGGACTCCGGACTGGGTGCGTTTCCCCTAGCAACAGTATGACCGAGTTGCGAGAAAGAGCTCGGACAACCTTGCTTCCTTAACGGTATTCTCATCGGGAATAGACTGGAGTACACATTTTGACATTTTGACACAATCCACATTTTCGAGTGGGAATGTCAATGAGACAAACTTGTGCTTTGCTATTCCAATCAACCAGTTCACCTCTACTCGCATGGAGTAGGCCTCGAACCGGGCGGCATTTGTGAGAATGCCCTTTGAGAAGCGGAGTTAAGCGAAATTGACCAGAACTGTGGAGCATCAATTCTTTATCAGCTTATATGGCACAGGGTGACTGGAACACTTCAACTTGTGCTTAGCACGAAGTATGAATTGGAAGATGGTAGAGAGCAAGCATTTCATGCCCATTAATGAAGAGGAGCCACACCGGCCCCCAGCATCTCGATTGGAGCCCAGACGCTTTGGCCTCCTTTGTTCTACACGAAATCATCGCACAAAATGACAACTTCAGTCGCTCATAAGTCTTCTGTTCAGAGGTCAAAGTTTAAGACAAAGACGACTCTGTTGCCATGCCTTTGTCCTATCATCTGGACAGATGACAACCACGGAGAGTGGAGTCGTAAAAGTGCGACAAGG